CGTCCAGGCGCCCCACCTGCTGCTGCTGCTGCTGCTGCGGGGCGAGCCTGCCTGGCAAGAGCGGGCGGAGGCGGCAGCTGACGGGCGGCCTGGCCTGGCCCCTCCTCCTCCTCCTCCCGCGCCCTCCTTTTCGCGGGCCCCTTTCTCCCCGCTGACCCGGCCATGGAGCGGAAGCAAATCGCGTGAAATTACCTCCAAGGATTACAGCGCCGGCCCATTGAAAGCGGCCCTCGCCCGGGCGGACAAGCCCTCCTAATCCCGTGTCAGTCGGCGGCTGCAAACAAACCCAAGCGAAAGGCCCCCTATTCTTCCGCCCGCCCGGGCTCATTCTCCCCCAGCTGGCCGGGACAGCGGCGGGCCGGCCGCGCCCAAGCGCTCCCTCTCGCCCTCTGGCGCGCACGCTTCAAAAGGGCGCCCGCCACCGCCACCGCCGCCCGGGACGTCACGCCTGACAAGGCCAAAAAAACCCCCCGGCCCCGCACCTTCACCCTCCTCCACCCAGAAAGGCCTGAACAATGGTGGCCCAGGTTACTTAGCACAGGCTTAAGAGGGCCCAGAAACATCTCATTTTTCCACTTGGCTTATTTGCTTGGACACCCGGCCTGAGGAGTGCTGTGCAACTCAAAAGCTAGCATAAACACTGGAGGAGCTTAAGCAAGATATTATTTGCCTGCGCCTGTGAAAGGTGAAAATAGCTCTGGAAAGCAAGGACACATGTCAATGTCATCCCTTTCCATCTGGGTTGCCAAAGACCAGACAAAGTAGCACCGTGACATTAAGTTCTTCTGCAGCACCATATCTGATTGGTATTCATACAAAAATCTGCACCCCCGGGGAGGATGGGCTTCATTCCCCTATACGTCCTGTAGTTAAACAAGTCCCACGAAGAACATACACAAACAACCAAAAAGACTATGCAAATACTGGGGGAAATCTAAAAGGTAAGCAGAGAGATACAAGCCTAGGGAATACTGGGTCACAATATACACACCCTCAGGTAACCCAGAACAGAGTGGTGGAGTATAACCGAAAAGGGTGAGACAAGAAAAAAGAAACTAAAATATAGCTACGTACATAGTGCTAATGTATAAAATATCACATGATTTAATTATACATTCAAAAGTGCTAAAATATAATTTAAAAAACAGAATCCTATGATTCTGCATATGAGTACCCAATCCTAATATAAAGACAAATGTCCAATCATATAAATACAGGTCCAAAGGTAGAAATTATATCCATATACAAGAACCAATATCAAACATGTTTCAGCTAAAAGCCATACCACTGAGGAAGACTTTTATCTGAAACACGTTTGGTATTGATTCTTGTATACAGATATAATTTGTACCTTTTAACTTGTATTTATATGACTGGACATTTGTCTTTATATTTGGATTAGGTAATCCTATGCAGAGTATAATTAAACTATGTGATACTTTGTACATGTACTATATGTGTAGCTATATTTTAGTTTTTTTTTCTTTCTCTCAACCTTTTTGGTTACCTTTCTCATGTAGGGTTGTGTTTTTCTTCCCAGAACAGAGCCCCATTTGATCAAAATGAGGCATTTGGGCTGATGCTTTTTATAGTTCTAAGGAATTTATTCACTAGGATGGTTCTGGAAGATGGTAGAGATTCTTCAGATTAATTTCCTAATCTCAGAGATCACGTTCTCACACAGGCATGCACGTGTACACACAATACTGAGCTCTTCAGCATGTTTTTTTAAAAATGAACAAACTGTAGTTCTTCCAAATAACCATACATTTAACTGACAGCATCTGATACACACATATATTTTGGAGTGTAGGGGGAAAAAACACACCATAGGGGCAAAAAATATTTTTATGGGAAAAGGAACATTTGCTCCTGGACATGATTAACAGTAGAGTTTGAAGTACATATTTTACTTTAAAGAAAAGGGAATCATTATCAATCCATTATGCATTAAGAAATGTCACTCAGTCATTTTTATTCATTCGGCAGAAATCTTTGTAAAAGCCAGAATCATACTTCTGCAAGCAGCAATTTTGTTAATCCAGGGGGGTTATTACTCTGGTCCCTTATTAGGATCTATATTACTGCCAAGCAATCCTATAACCATCTCAAAAGAAGTTTACCTTCATGTTATAAAACCAGTAGTGGTATTTATACTGTGCAATAATTAGTGTATTACTTGAATCCACTAACAGGTTCATTTTATCTCTGCACAAAACCTCTAGTCTGCTTATAGAAAGCTTGTGCCTCCTTTGGCGCTGTTAAAGTGGTGAAAGAGTGAATGAAGGCTGGTAGCACTCTCTCTTTTTGCCTTGCCTTAATTCCCATCTCTTTTTGCTCTCATCCAATTAGTGCAGTGTATTAAGCAGTTTATCATCTCATAGTCAGCTATTGAGAGAAACAAGGCGAACACTTTGCAATAGAGCCTGCTCTCCTTTGACACCCTCAGGTACTTACATATTCCACTGTGCTATGAATAATAGAGGAAGAATGGAGCACTAATTCTCTCATCAAAGAATGCCTTGTCTGCTGCTTTGCTCAACAACACCATTCTGATCAAAAGAAAAGCAATAAAGCTTAGCATAACAAAACGAAACCTACTTATTAGCTTAGTGGTTAAATTAATGCAGAGCCGCTGCTATTCAAAACCAAGGTTTGAAAACAGCCTCCAACAACCTGATAATGCTGCCTTCGGGATGAAGGAATTTTAATCTGAAATTTGAAGCTGGCACAGATGAGTTAATCTATTAAACAGCTATAAGAGGAACGCAGGATGAGCGGTTCAATTAAGAAATATTTAGGTGCTCTACAGAAGAGGCAAATAAGGTGAGGATGGGCTGGAGTTAGGAAATAGAAAAGTACATTTTCCTGCAAAAAAAGGATTCTGGCACAGGATGAAATAATTTTAGAGCTTCCGTTCCTTTCCCTTAATACACAGACACTCTCTTCTGAGGTCTGGCTTCTGAGCTTGTGTACCAATTTTTCCTCCAGACCCTCAATCAAACTTTAGAACTGTGTGTATTGTTATCTGTATACAAACAAGAAATACAGGGCAATGGCAACTCTATTTCAGGCACTGGGAAAAGACCACAGTCTTGCATTTTTCAATCTGTACCAGATTCTTTGTAGCATTATAATCCAACACATAATTTCCAGAGAGGTAACATCAACTGGGACAATCAGTAGGCTGGTGAGTTAGGGAGGTTTTTCTGATCAGGTTCAGCTTTTATCCCATCACCTGAAGTACTAGACATATCCTTAACTTGGAAATACCATTGCTTATACTAAAGTAGACAGTTTAAATAAGCATCTACTATTATGCTAGTTTCCTTTCAGTCAGTACTAAAATTTCTTCCCAAGGAATTAAAATAAGTAAACTATCATTCACATGTTCACTCATTACATTTCCAAGTTTACATTTTTTGGGGGGAGGGGGAGAAACCCTGCTTGAAGATGATCACTTTCTCCATTTTTTCTCTTTGTGATGAGGGAAAGTTTGTGAAATGGCAATCTTCAAGGATAATACATCAGATATATGTGCATGGAAATACAATTGTTTCATTCAACCCTTAACACTGAGAACCCTATGATATACACAAAGAAGCTTCTCCTTTATTCAACAGAGGGCAGGTTTTTACATGTACCCCTTTTGTGAGTGTGGAACAACCTTAAAGAAGTAAAAGCAGAAATCCTTGTAGGCTTGGGAGTTCTTTGCATATGGCATGCTAGACTGAGGTAACAATTTCAGATACAAAGTTCGAGTCCAGTGGCACCTTTTTGACCAACGAAGTTTTGTTCAAGGTATGAGCTTTCGTGTGCACACACACTTCCTCAGATGTATCTTTGTTGGTCTTAAAGGAGCCACTGGACTCGAACTTTGTTCTACTGCTTCAGGCCAACACAGCTGCTCACCTAGATCTAATATCAGATGCACACAATGTCCATTTGATACCAAATTTGAACACAACTGTTCCCAAGTAAATATCTTACACTGGAACATAAGGACTGGAGCAGAAGTGAATCAAGCAGAATAAGGACTAAATCAGAAGTGACAGAAGAATTTATGTTTCTTCATGTGAAGTCCACACATAAAACAGTATGGATCTATTTTTTTTATACAAAAGGTGAGGAAAGCTAAACCTCTCCCATACTCTAGGTATTGTTCTACAAAGCTAGAAGCAAAGGAACTTCAGCATCTCCTTTCTATTTCATACCCGGCACATGCAGTTTTTAGACTACCAATTCTAACTGCAATTCTCTCTTTGGTCATTTCAAGGCAGTTTAAAATATGTGAAGTGGGAATCCCCCCCCTGTGTGCTATGTGTCATGCGGTGACAGACAAAAATGTCTTGTTTTCAAGTGTTTGTTGGAAAGTGACATACACATGTATCAAATTTCAGATTCTTCTCTGTTGTAAAAGTATCACAATGCATAAACCTTACTATTCTCTAAGCAGTATTATATTCCTGGCTGCCACTGCAAATTCTCTCACTCCCAAGCCGAGGCTAGTTTGGAACTCCCACTGCATTCAGTACAGTCTATTCTTTGGTTAGCTCGGTGCTTGAGTACCGGCTGCTGTTATGGCAAAATTCATG